CACTACATAATGATATACACCTGAACATCAGCAGGAGAGGACTCTTTAAAGTAGAGACACTACATACTGATATACACCTGAACATCAGCAGGAGAGGACTCTTTAAAGTAGAGACACTACATACTGATATACACCTGAACATCAGCAGGAGAGGACTCTTTAAAGTAGAGACACTACATACTGATATACACCTGAACATCAGCAGGAGAGGACTCTTTAAAGTAGAGACACTACATACTGATATACACCTGAACATCAGCAGGAGAGGACTCTTTAAAGTAGAGACACTACAAACTGATATACACCTGAACAGGACTCTTTAAAGTAGAGACACTACATACTGATATACACCTGAACATCAGCAGGAGAGGACTCTTTAAAGTAGAGACACTACAGACTGATATACACCTGAACATCAGCAGGAGAGGACTCTTTAAAGTAGAGACACTACATACTGATATACACCTGAACATCAGCAGGAGAGGACTCTTTAAAGTAGAGGACTCTTTAAAGTAGAGACACTTCATACTGATATGAGCCTGAACGTTTGCAGAATAGGGCCCCTTTAAAGAAAGACTGTGATCTTCTTTTATTCAGTAACTAACATTAACTGTTTATTACACTACAGATCTTCTCACGGTCATTTTCACTCTATGAATTAATGAACGCTTCAATTGCTATTCAGTAATCTCAAAAGCACCAAAATGTTACCTGGATATAAATGAAAGTGACGGGAAGTTATCCCCTTGTGTGTCAGATCAATTAATCCAGGTCTAGCCAGTTTAATTTGTTACATATCTCAAGTGTCCTTGAGCGGGACAGTGAACCCAAACTGCTCCTGAGGTGTGTAATTCAAGGAAAACTATAAATGTCTTGGCACGAAATCCTCTGCCAACTCAATGACATTTAGTGCCATTAGTGCTTCTTTTCACTCAGTGGAGATCACGTACCGTTTCGTTTTGATTTAGTCCTTTTTATCCCAAAGCACTTAAAGAAACTGAAAGTCGAGACAAAGATGAACATTTCAAAGGCTTCTCTGTCATGAAAAATAGATACAGTGGAGTTTTTGGCGATGACAATCTGAACTATACTGCTCCAACAACAATGCAACATACTATACTTAAGAGAAATGAAATGCGTGAGAACGTGGAGGAGATTAACAGTCTTGTGTCATGTGGGATTATGTCTGAGTCTGGTGTCCTTGGCAAAAATGTGAGTCTGTAACTGTAACACAGTTCTGATATACCGTTTTTACTCAGGTGTCATTATTTCAGTTTTTCTTAAAAGTTATTGTTTTTTTTATTTCACAGATTTATTATTTCAGTTTTAGTTTGCAAACATGTCCTTGCTGCACACCTACTGTGCACACTACTTTAAAAATACATACTGCTCACACTATCTACGGGGAGTAATACTGTAAAATAAAATAATCTGAATGGGTTTATTGCTTATTAAGAAAGAAAATTACAAATTCCTAGAAAACTGTAAATTATAAAATTCAAATGTTTAATTTTAATTAAAGTTGTATCTATTATGAAGTGAAATAGTGGGACCACAGTTGTTTAATTAAAGGTCCCATGTCATGCTTTTCCGGTTATTACCCGTCCCCTTGTGTGTTATGAAGGGGACACTTTTTCATTTGTTCCCTTTGTCTCTCATCTGTTGTCCTGCAGCTGGCCTAAAGGACAATGTTTTTGAGCATGTCCAGTATTCAGCTATTCTGATTGTTTAATCTTTCTTACTTTCTCAGTACTGAACCACTGCGAGGTCCACCGCATCCCCTCTGTCGTTTACCAGTGTTACAGCGACGTCATTGGCCCAGACTCCGTCACCATGGAGACATTCAAACCCACACTAACCAAACTCGGCAAGTCCATAAAGGTGAGCTGCTTTTTGTTTATTGCTCATCTAAGGGCTCTGTTAAAGGTCAGAATAACAAACTTAAAAGCTTCTGAAGTGTTTCCTGTTGTTCTCATCTTTGACCCTGCTTTCCTTTCTCTCTGTCTCTTTAGTTGGACCCTTCTCCGAGCACAGACATCCTCCGCAAGATCGTCAGAACCACCAACATCCAGAGTAATCTTTATATCTGATAATGTCTATGCAATTTACACAAGTGGTTAAATACTGTCATTTTTTAATAAAGAAATTAAAGTAAAGAAAGCCTTTGTTTTGATATTATTATTGGTAATAATAAATTGTATTTATTTGAATGTAACAAGATGTTCTGTGTTGTTCAAATTGCATAGTTAAACAAAAATAATTTATCGAATATCTGCAAGAAGTTTGTTTAAAATTAGAAATTCAATTAATGTCAATTAGTTTGTTTCTCGTGAACATTGTATCTGAGATAATTTTTCCAGTTGTTTTAAGAATTTTTTATTAAACTCAATGCCTGTATTACGTTTTAATGTATTAGTTTGAACCTATTTCAAAACTAATAGGCTTCTTTTGTTTTATTCCTTACCTGTATTTTGTGAAAATAGCAGTTTGTGTTCAGACCTTTCATTTACCCTTATCATTTGAGATGTAAAAGTAGGCTATATCTTTAATAATAGTCCAAACTTTAAAAATAACATTCTTTTTAGTTTACTCCACAGAAATTAATGAAATAAATAAAGGTAGGCAACTTAATACTTACAGGTGTATACTAGTATTAACACAACATCTCCTCCTGTCCAGGTCGGGCAGTAATGCGCCGTTGAGCTGTTCGTTCAACGTCGGATACTAAAAGTGAGCGAAACTCAAACAAACCAGTTGCTGTTTACTTAGCTTTTACAAACGAAACAAGGATTTCTACTTCTTTTTTTAGTTTTGAAGAAGGTTAACAACTAGTGTGCAAAGTATAACATTGAAACCCGCCATAACTTCACGACAATGAATAACCCAGTGAACTGTGTGCAGAGAAGATAGTTGGCAGTGAGCTAGCATTAGGCTAACGTCTCCAATGAGCAGGTTTAAACCGTCGACAAGCGGCCGGTGCAGAGCTCCTGTCCGGCTGAGCAAAGAGCCCCCAGCCCCCGGAGGAGCCAACAAGGTGCTGGCCGAGAGGAACCATGCTGTGGTGGCGGTGGGAGCCTGGGTGGAGAGCGAGCACGACTTTATGGAGCACCCATCTGTGAGTTTGGCATTTAATGTTAAAGAGCTAAGCTAGCTGGTAGTGTTGCTAGGCTGTCGAAAGAGACCGTTAGTGGTAGTGATGACCGGTCCAGACCAGTTGGTTAAAAAAGTCGAAATTAATGTGAAGTAACCTCAGTAAAAGTAGCAACACTGAGAAGGGAAGAGTAAATAAGTACATTTACCGAGGAGGTAGGCTACTGTACTTTTATTCAACTTAAACCTCACATTGTATTTTTTACTCCACTATACATTTAATTGACAGTAGCCTAGTAGTTATTTTGCAGATTCAGATTAATACTAATAAATCAAGGAGGAAATTGTGATGTATTGTTATAGATTAAACTACTCCACTAAATGAGGTCCACTTTCCCATCTCTGCAATATTACTAGTTATGCTACCACAATAATGCACTAGTTATAATTAGTTAGTATGTAAATATGTCCACCAACCCATACTGCGCTCTCACTCTTCTGTTGGACACGACCGCATCTTTGTTTCTGCACATTTTCACACACCCATATACACGCAATCATTACTGATAACTGACTTCCACATTTATTAGGTTTCTTTGAAGACTTTTGGTTTTTATGGTATTGTAAGTAAATATGCTTTTTGTTACACTTAACTTGTCTAGTCTCCCATCTTTGTTGCAGCCTATGAGCCAGGCCGTAACAGTGTCCAACCTGTTTTCCCATGTCTTGTTTCAGGCTCTTGCTTTGCTCACTGAAGAGATCCAGGTAGAGAAGAGGAGGGAGACTGAGGAGAGCCTTCTACGATTTCAAGAGGAAGTACGCCATCGTGTGGCGCAGCAAGCTCAAGTCAGCAAGAAGAGACAGCAGCCTCACACTGATCCCATGGTACACATATCATTATCATGACTTATAGTCAGGGCTGCCAACCCTCACACATTGAGCGCGAGAGTCACGCAATTAACACCTCACGCACTCACGCCACACATGCCTTTCCTCACGCTAAGTTTTCGTCCAAAATAAATGTATATAAAAATAAAGTGAAGGAACAGCAAACGAAGCGTCACCTGACACCCGCTACTACCATTACGAAATAAAAAAAATATAGATTACTTTAGGGCTAACTAGAAAAGATACCAGAACTGATGCAGGGCAAATTAAAACATGACTGACCTGCTTGGAGCATCAAGCTAACTGAAGCTGGACTCAGACGTGCGACAGCAAAATACACCCCCGGGTACAAAATAAAGGAATGCATAAACAAACAAGGCGGAACCAATTTACATATGAAAAGAATATATAATTTGGTGAAGTTCACAATAACAGAAAATAAAGATTTTCAAGTATACAAATAGCCAAAATAAAAAAGTCATAGAATAGCAATTTTATTTTAATAAAAAAATAAAAATGTTTTTGCTATTTATTGGGGGGAACATTTTGAGTGTATCTGAATATTGGGGGGGATGTGTCCCCCCCAATGTATATGGGGAATACGGCCCTGGTAGTGACTGTATCGCCGTTTTA